CAACAAAGAAACCCACATGTGTCTCTTACACAACAGAGAAATCCACATGTCTCTTCTACACAACAGAGAAACCCACATGTGTCTTCTACACAACAGAGAAACCCACATGTGTCTTCTACACAACAGAGAAACCCACATGTGTCTCTTACACAACAGAGAAACCCACATGTGTCTTCTACACAACAGAGAAACCCAGATGTGTCTTCTGCACAACAGAGAAACCCACATGTGTCTTCTACACAACAGAGAAACCCACATGTGTCTTCTACACAACAGAGAAACCCACACGTGTCTTCTACACAACAGAGAAACCCACATGTGTCTTCTACACAACAGAGCTGCAATTTCTGCCAGACAAGTATTTCAAATAAGAGGGCTTGATGTCATTACACATGCACACTCACAGACGCGCCTGCGCACACACGCACAGACACAGGGACATACATACACACACTCACGCACATACCCTACAACATTAGAACAAAATTCTTTTTCCCCCCTGGACATTGATATGTACAAGGTATAATAAGATGTCTATTAAAAAAACCAATAAGAGTTCAGGAGCAATCGTGCCAAACTAAGACAGTTAACTGGAAACCACTGCTGCAGACGTGGTCTTTGGCGCAGATTATGGCTTACTTCCAGGAATGTTATCTGGCATGTTGGTCTGTCGCACAGACTGAGATTATTAAATCTCAGGATAGTGAACTTTTTGGTAGCAACCTGGAGGGGACAAACGATCTATCAATCTATAGAATCATGTGTAGCTATGTTCATGTAGCTTGTAGCGTGTAGCATGTATATTGTTTTGTTGGTGTATATGGTTGTTACATTCAAGCTTGTTTTGTTACATTCTTGTATGTTCCTGTGTCTGTTGTTGCATTCGAGCTTGATTTGTTACATTCTTGTATGTTCCTGTGTATGTTGTTACATTCAAGCATGTTTTGTTACATTCTTGTATGTTCCTGTATATATTGTTACATTCAAGCATGTTTTGGTACATTCTTGTATGTTCCTGTGTATATTGTTACATTCAAGCTTGTTTTGTTACATTCTTATACGCTTCTGTGTGTGTGGTTATATTTGAGGATGTTTTATTTATGTTCTTATATGTTGCTGTATCTGTGTTGTTTTCTTCAAGGATGTTTTGTTATGTCCTGGTATGCTTCTGTGTGTGTGTGTGTGTGTGCTGATATATTCAAGCGTGTCCTACAGTACGAGGAAGCACTTACCGCCACGTCTTCAACAGGAGTGCCCCATAAGAGATGGAGAAGCCCACCTCGCGGAACCAGAGCTTCAAACAACACGTGACCGTGCTGGCCTCGAAGTAGCCGACGATGGACTGCAGAGACAGGAATCATCCATGTTACACAGGTCAACACAGCATGTTATAGCAACATTCTAGTTAAGTAGTTGGTCCGCAACTCTAATACGGCCTTCAGTACATCTGATATATTGTACCAGGCCGCGAACTGTACTGAAATTAATTCCACTGAACTTTAACTAACTTGTAAAAGGAAGGGAGGAAAAAGGGAGGGAGAGAGGTGGGGGGGGGGGGGGGGTCACAAACACAGAAACACTGGGACGTGTGAAAGACAGTCTTTATCAACAAGCACCACATCAACATGGGGGGGGGGGGGGGGGCGCGGGGGGAGTATCGCGACCACTGGAAAGGTAGGTAAATATAAAATAATGGAAGAGAAAAGATAGTGCGGAACAAATCAAAACTATTGCTGCACACATGCTTATTGTTATCACCCTTGTTTGTATAGGCCACTCGGCACTCAACGGTTATTTTGGGCAGTATCACCCATGCTGCCTTTATTTCCTAGGTCACTACCTTATACCCATTTTAGGCTGGTTCAGCCTGGGAGCCACGGTCAAACGACTGGCACCTTCATTTGTTAAAACAATAATAACTGTCAGCTATCATTTGCTTAACAAACTATAATCTCTAAAGGGAGCATGCAGTTTGAGGTGGGATAATATTCATATAGTTTCTGATGATTCCACACCTGAGCTGCTGAGTACGCTAAGCTTGTTTTGTATAGGTCTATGAGGACAGCGTGGGATATCTAGTGGGCACTGTAGGACTGTACCCACTGGACCCTGTAGGACTGTACCCACTGGGCACAGTAGGACTGTACTCACTGGACACTGTAGGACTGTACCCACTGGGCACAGTAGGACTGTACCCACTGGGCACTGTAGGACTGTACCCACGGGACACTGTAGGACTGTACCCACTGGGCACAGTAGGACTGTACTCACTGGACACTGTAGGACTGTACCCACTGGGCACAGTAGGACTGTACCCACTGGGCACTGTAGGACTGTACCCACGGGACACTGTAGGACTGTACCCACTGGGCACTGTAGGACTGTACCACTGGACACTGTAGGGCTGTATCCACTGGGCACTGTAGGACTGTACTCACTGGACACTGTAGGACTGTACTCACTTGACACTGTAGGACTGTACTCACTGGACACTGTAGGACTGTACCCACTGGAAACTGCAAGACTGTACTCACTGGACACTGTAGGACTGTACTCGCTGGACACTGTAGGACTGTACTCACTGGACACTGTAGGACTGTACTCATTGGACACTGTAGGACTGTACTCACTTGACAGTGCTGGACAATTCTTATTCCACCTAACTAGGCATTACTCACGGTACTTTTGGACAGTGCATGACAGAGCTTACTGAACTATACATGACAGTACTTACTCGACAGTACATGACAGTACTTACAGGACAGTACATGACAGTACTTACAGGACACTACATGACAGTACTTACTGGACAGTACATGACATACTTAAGGACAGTACATGACAGTACTTACAGGACAGTACATGCCAGTACTTACAGGACAGTACATGACAGTACTTACTTGACAGTACATGACAGTACTTACAGGACAGTACATGACAGTACTTACTGGACAGTACATACAGGACAGTATATGACAGTACTTACAGAACAGTACATGACAGTACTTACTGGACAGTACATGACAGTACTTACAGGACAGTACATGACAGTACTTACTGGACAGTACAGGAAAAAAGCTCCCAGTATGACGACCCTCATTAAGGCAGGACTTGCAGCCTTTAAAACCTAGGGAGGTATGAATCAACAGACACACTTCAAGTGGGTGTCATTCCCGCATTGCTACTGTCGTGCAACTGTCGTGCAACTGTCGTGCAACTGTCGTGCAACTGTCGTGCAACTGTCTAATTTAGGTCAGTTTATCTTACCTATAAATACCAACCATGACCTGACATATATACACACTATCAATACGGGCACACACCTGCTTACACATACAATGTCCATACATATACACACCTGCTTACACATACAATGTCCATACATGTACACACCCACTTACACATACAATGTCCATACATGTACACACCCACTTACACACACAATGTCCATACATGTACACACCCACTTACACATACAATGTCCATACATATACACACCTACTTACACATACAATGTCCATACATATACACACCTGCTTACACATACAATGTCCATACATGTACACACCCACTTACACATACAATGTCCATACATGTACACACCCACTTACACATACAATGTCCATACATATACACACCTGCTTACACATACAATGTCCATCATATACACACCTGCTTACACATACAATGTCCATACATGTACACACCCACTTACACATGCAATGTCCATACATATACACACCCACTTACACATGCAATGTCCATACATATACACACCTGCTTACACATACAATGTCCATTCATGTACACACCTGCTTACACATACAATGTCCATACATATACACACCTGCTTACACATACAATGTCCATACATATACACACCTGCTTACACATACAATGCCCATACATATACACACCTGCTTACACATACAATGTCCATACATATACACACCTGCTTACACATACAATCTCCATACATATACACACCTACTTACACATACAATGTCCATACATATACACACCTACTTACACATACAATGTCCATACATATACACACCTACTTACACATACAATGTCCATACATATACACACCTACTTACACATACATTGTCCATACATTTACACACCTTCTTACACATACAATGTCCATACATACACACACCTGCTTACACATACAATGTCCATACATACACACACCTGCTTACACATACAATCTCCATACATACACACACCTGCTTACACATACAATCTCCATACATGTACACACCTGCTTACACATACAATCTCCATACATATACACACCTGCTTACACATACAATCTCCATACATGTACACACCTGCTTACACATACAATGTCCATACATATACACACCTACTTACACATACAATCTCCATACATACACACACCTGCTTACACATACAATCTCCATACATATACACACCTGCTTACACATACAATCTCCATACATGTACACACCTGCTTACACATACAATGTCCATACATACACACACCTGCTTACACATACAATCTCCATACATATACACGCAGTGTATCAATACCTGGAACTGTTTACGACAAAGCAGACCACATGTTGAATGATCTCAACTAACACTGTGTTACTGAGAGTCGCCGTGTTGTAGCAGTTAGACGGTCGCCTGTTGATACAGAGGTCCTGGGTTTGGGTCGTTACTTCTACGACATGATTGTTAGGGAGCAGTGAGATCCTACCCACACCAATCCCCCCCCCCCCCCCCCTTTTCCAAATGGGGTTCTAAAGCCTGCACATAGAGGTGCTTTACAATAATGTTTACATTAATCTTCTTCTTTCTTTCTTTCTTTCTTTCTTTCTTTCTTTCTTTCTTTCTTTCTTTTGTCTGTCTTTCCTCATCCGCCTCCTCCTCCTCCTTCTTCTTCTTCTTCTTCTTCTTCTTTCGTCTTCCTCTTCTTCTTCTTCTTCTTCTTCTTCTTCTTCTTCTTCTTCTTCTTCTTCTTCTTCTTCTTCTTCTTCTTCTTCTTCTTCTTCTTCTTCTTCTTCTTCTTCTTCTTCTTCTTCTTCTTCTTCTTCTTCTTCTTCTTCTTCTTCTTCTTCTTCTTCTTCTTCTTCTTCTTCTTCTTCTTCTTCTTCTTCTTCTTCTTCTTCTCAGTGTTTCTCATGTCGACGTCTTTATTATCATTCCCGCCCCCCCCCCCCCTTGCTCTTCCTTATCTGCTTGAAGTACAAATTCTTTTTTAGACATCAACGGTCATGTTTCTTCTGTTCTCTGCTCTCATATTTCGAAGAAGCTGCAAAAATGTGAAGTTAAAAATCTATCCAAAGTAGTTCTGGATCCCTGCCGGTGCTACGGAGTTCGTGCACTCGTGCACTGGACTCTGGCTTGTTAGAAGAATAACGGAGCCCTTATGAGTTACTACTCTTATGTCATGATGTTGATCCGGGGTATAAACCAAACCACACTTTAAAAAAAAAATTAGGTTTATCTATTAAACACAGACTCAAACGCTCACCTTTACATTCCTATAGTGGACAGTAAACCAGACCAGCACAAATAAAAACGACACCATCAGGACGGAGGCGGCCAGTAGGATAGAGCGGAGGATCCAGTTGAGGGATAAGACACAGGGTGAGGGATCCGAACAGGTGTCACAGCCAAGGGCACACGGTAGGCACTCAAACTTGTGGTCATAGTGGTTAAACTCCCCCTGGTTCGATAAAAATGACCAGAAAAAGACAAGCATATTGTGATTTACATCATCATATTCAATCATCATTATCATTTGTTGTCATCATCGTTGTCGTTGACATAATTATTACCGTCATCACCACCACCATCATCATCTTTAGTCGCCATCATTATCCTTCTTCTCATTGTAATTATCACATAGTATTGTCAGACTCTATGAACAGGCTTCAGACAATCGCAACAAGTAGTCTCTACGTCCTGACTCGGTAGAAAGCATTCCGAAGTCGCAGTTAACCTCAGTCACCTGGATCTTCACACCTGAGCTTGCGGCAGTAAAAGCTAAGGAAAGATCTGACCAGCCGACAAGTAATGCAGCAATCCATACAGGAAAACGCATGGACAAAGCTGACGGAATCAACCCAGTACATGCCTGGTGTACAATAATGAATCCCTGACGCTAACACGATTGGGTGACCTGTTAGTAAAGCTTATTCCGTCTTCAAGGCCAAGAAAGGAAACACAATAACTATTACCTAGGAGACGTCACACAGGGCCCTCACCATAACTGCACCAGATCCTCCAAATCCTCCCCCCCCCCAACCCCTCACCATAACTGTGCAGGAGATCCCCACCCCGACGCCTCACCATAACTGTGCAGGAGATCCCCACCCCGACGCCTCACCATAACTGTGCAGGAGATCCCCACCCCGACGCCTCACCATAACTGTGCAGGAGATCCCCACCCCACCCCATTTTCCGGGTACTTGTGTTTGACAAATGATACATAATAACAGAAACAAACAATGTATTGATCGGCACTCATAGAAAGAAGTCTAAAGGTAGAAGAACTCACTATTTAATTAAGTTTGACAGACGGAAGAAGAAGGCCAAGTGATACCTTTCAGAGATGATCCAATACTCTACATTGTTTCCTTTAGCGCCGTCCTTCGCCAGCCTGTCTTAGAGTCAATATCCACGAATGGACATTCTCGGGTACTCTCATGAGGCTACTGTCTTACTGACATGTATTGCTGACAGCACCGGGTAGGGCATCAGCTCCACTGCCACTTGTTGTTGTTGTTTTACCGAGAAAGACTCCGGGGGAAACGTTACCTACACAAACACACACCTTTTCGTTAAGCTTCTTGTTGACATTTGAGTGGATGAATGTCTTGCCACTTGAGTGAAACCTAAACTACCGCTAGAAGACATCATGGAAGTCGAGAGAAAGACATTTGAGAGACCGACATGCTGTCATAAACAGACAGATACAGACATTCTTGAGAAGACAGACTGCCTTCAGCTGTAATATATTGCCGATGGAATCAGCTATTACAATAACATTATACTGCATTTGTGAAGTAATGGTAATGCTTGTCTCTCCAGCTGATGAATTTATGAGACGTTTACTAGCAGTAAAATATGAAAACCGTCACAGAACAGATTTAGAATCTCACTTGTTGGGGAGATAACCTGGGACAAGGCGCCATAACTCATACATATACTGGTAGTAAACCTTTCTAGATTTAATTCCCTTACCCTGTGCAGCTCAGAAATAATTTATATAGCTTAAAGATAGATTAAGTTTGCCAATGGTTTCAGCGAGATCTCTTGATTTATTTTACAGCAGAAATAAACAAGTAGACAGGTGTTTACACATGGAAATAACGACATGCTGGCAGACAGATCAATTACAAACATGTATATGGACAGAGAAATAGGCAGACTAACGCAGTTACACACAATAATAAACCAACAGGCAGGCAAACACACAGAAAGACAGACTGGCCGAACAACTGGCCGGTCAACCGAGCGACAGATGAAGAGAGACAGGGGGATAATGTATAGGCGAACAGACAGGTAGGTAGGTAAACAGGCATGTGGGTAGAGAGGCTAGCAGGGAGGGAGGAATGTATAGGCGAACAGACAGGTAGGTAGGTAGGTAAACAGGCATGTGTGTAGAGAGGCTAGCAGGGAGGAAGTGATGAATGATGACAGTGAAACCACCTTGCGTTTCTTCTCGTACTCCTGCTCGACATCAGTGCCCCAGTAGAACTTGTCCCTGGCCAGCAGGTCCGGGAAGTAGAAGCCATCCTGGCACACACACTTGTAGGAACCTCGGCGGAAGCCCAGTCCTGGGATATGTGCTCGCACTGTCGGTACAAAGTGTAATGATTACATACAGTGCGTGGTGATTACATACTGTGTGTGGTGATTACATACAGTGTGTGGTGATTACATACAGTGTGTGGTGATTACATACAGTATGTGGTGATTACATACAGTATGTGGTGATAACATACAGTATGTGGTGATTACATACAGTATGTGGTGATTACATACAGTATGTGGTGATTACATACAGTATGTGGTGATTACATACAGTGTGTGGTGATTACATACAGTGTGTGGTGATTACATACAGTGTGTGTGATTACATACTGTGTGTGGTGATTACATACAGTGTGTGGTGATTACATACAGTATGTGGTGATTACATACAGTGTGTGGTGATTACATACAGTGTGTGGTGATTACATACAGTGTGTGGTGATTACATACAGTATGTGGTGATTACATACAATGTGTGGTGATTACATACAGTGTGTGGTGATTACATACAATGTGTGGTGATTACATACAGTGTGTGGTGATTACATACTGTGTGTGGTTATTACATACAATGTGTGGTGATTACATACAATGTGTGGTGATAAAATACAATGTGTGGTGATTACATACAATGTGTGGTGATTACTTACTGTGTGTGGTGATTACATACAGTGTGTGGTGATTACATACAGTGTGTGGTGATTACATACAGTGTGTGGTGATTACATACAGTGTGTGGTGATTACATACAGTGTGTGTGATTACATACAGTGTGTGGTGATTATATACAGTGTGTGGTGATTATATACAGTGTGTGGTGATTATATACAGTGTGTGGTGATTACATACAGTGTGTGGTGATTATATAAAGTGTGTGGTGATTAGATAGAGTGTGTGGTGATCAGATAAAATGTGTGGTGATTAAATAGAGTGTGTGGTGATTACATACAGTGTGTGGTGATCGGTTAAAGCAGGAATGTCAAACTGGTGGCCCGCGCTCCGCATGCAGCCCTTTGCAAGCACAGCTGCGGCCCGCACAAAGGAAATTTTTTTGGCATAATGTTTATTAAATGACTCGATCAGTTGTCGAGTTTGGTATTATGACGACAGAGTTTGACCCATGTGGTCTTTATAGACCCCCAGTTGTCGTGTTTGGTCCTATGACGACAGCGTTTGACCTATGTGGTCTTTAATAGACCCCCAGTTGTCGTGTTTGGTCCTATGACGACAGCGTTTGACCTATGTGGTCTTTAATAGACCCCCAGTTGTCGTGTTTGGTCCTATGACGACAGAGTTTGACCTATGTGGTCTTTAATAGACCCCCAGTTGTCGTGTTTGGTCCTATGACGACAGCGTTTGACCTATGTGGTCTTTAATAGACCCCCAGTTGTCGTGTTTGGTCCTATGACGACAGCGTTTGACCTATGTGGTCTTTAATAGACCCCCAGTTGTCGTGTTTGGTCCTATGACGACAGCGTTTGACCTATGTGGTCTTTAATAGACCCACAGTTGTCGTGTTTGGTCCTATGACGACAGGGTTTGACCTATGTGGTCTTTAAATTAGACCCCCAGTTGTCGTGTTGGGTCCTATGACGACAGCAGTTTGACCTATGTGGTCTTTATAGACCCCCAGTTGTGTTGTTTGGTCCTATGACGACAGAGTTTGACCCATGTGGTCTTTAATAGATCCCCAGTTGTCGTGTTTGGTCCTATGACGACAGAGTTTGACCCATGTGGTCTTTAATAGATCCCCAGTTGTCGTGTTTGGTCCTATGACGACAGAGTTTGACTCATGTGGTCTTTAATAGATCCCCAGTTGTCGTGTTTGGTCCTATGACGACAGAGTTTGACCTATGTGGTCTTTAATAGATCCCCAGTTGTCGTGTTTGGTCCTATGACGACAGAGTTTGACCCATGTGGTCTTTAATAGATCCCCAGTTGTCGTGTTTGGTCCTATGACGACAGAGTTTGACCCATGTGGTCTTTAATAGATCCCCAGTTGTTTGGCCTGCCTTGTTAGAGAGTGTGGTCATAAGATAATGTAGTGTTTGGCTGGAGTGTTAGAGTGTACACGGTGGTCATATAGTGTATGTTGTGATTGATTAGAGTGTTAGAGTGTACACGGTGTTCATATAGTGTATGTATTGACTAATTAGAGAGTTAGAGTGTACACTGTGATTATACAGCGTATGTGGTGATTGATTAGAGTGCTTTAGTATTCAAGGTGATCATATAGTGTATGTGGTAATTGATTAGAGTGTTAGAGTGTACACTGTGATAATATAGTGTATATGGTGATTGATTAGAGTGTACACGGTGATCATATAGTGTATGTGGTGATTGATTAGAGTGTACAAGGTGATCATATAGTGTATGTGATGATTGATTAGAGTGTACACGGTGATCATATAGTGTATGTGGTGATTGATTAGAGTGTTAGAGTGTACCCGGCGATCAGCCAGTGTATATGGTGGTCAAAAGGAGTATGTCAGTATGTGTCTGGGGCGACAGTTCATGTTTCTGATTATTATTCATGTCTGTAAGGTATGCTGCTATTTCTATGGCCAGATTTGACCTCTGGTAGTCTAGTAGTCTGGTAGTATTAGTTTCAGCGTAATAGCTAATTGGTCACCCCATCTTTGCTCCGCTCCTGTGCCCACGAAAAACACACAGAATGTTTATCACAGTCCCTTGTGGAAAGTTTGACAGACTGCTGTCTCAGCATATCTAGCATACACCCGCATTAAAGCATACGGTACCCATCCGAAGTGCTAACACAAACAGTCCAACATTAGAAATGCAGTTCATCATTGATGATAGCAGAAGTCACCAACAGATCAGCAGTTGCCCACGCGATCAATTTTAATCACATACGGGCACCACCAACATTGCACGACAGGCATCGCG